CCCAGCGCCCCCGGGGTGCCCGCGCCTGGTGGGCGCGGCCTGGCGAGGGTGGGAGGTGCAGAGCGTGTGGCCGTGGGGAGGCAGCCCCGGGAGAGGGGCCGGCAGCCGCCAGGGGCCAGGGCCCAGGGGCCAGGGGCCAGGGACGGCCGAGGCGAACTCGGGCTGCAGCTGGCTGAAGTTTTAGTAAAAACAACCAGAAGTCCTCTTGGGCTCACGTTCCGCAGCACTGTAAACGTTCCTGCGGGAAGCAAATGGAGCTCTAATAAAATCAGGAAATATTTTTAAAATGGGGTCGCCGCGGGGCCACGGAAAACCGCCGGCCCCCAGCCCCTGCCCCCAGCTGCCGCCCTGGGCCCACTTGCGGGACCTCAGTAAGTGCCCTGAGCCAAGGGCCGGCGGCCTCAGCCCGGCCCCCGCTGCTCCCTCCTGGCCCCCAGCTGTCTTCGCAGGTCCTTGTTTTGGGGCTGCCTCGGGTAAGTGGGCTCTCGGGGCCGGGTGCCCGCCTGTGTGGCAGTGTGGTGCCCGTGCCACTGCAGCTTGCTCGCTGCCGCCGGGGGGCCGCATGGGCCTTCTCTCAGGCAGGTGCGCGGGGGCGGGACTGCCGGCTGTGGGAAGGTGTGTCCGTCTTACACACACACTCGGCGATGTGGGGCGGCTCCGGGATTTCCAATCCTGGACGCGTGTTCCTGTCTGCTAACTTGGGCTGCCGTGCGAGGGTGCCGGGGGGCCCCGAGTTCCCGTCGGAATATTCCTAGCATCGCTCCTGGGCCTAAAAGCCGTCTATCCAGTTGGTGAGATGTCTCACCAAATGCTGACTTGGGTTGTCCTCTTTATTTTTAATTTAGTAAAACATTCGTAACATAAACTGATCATTTAATTTTAAGTGTGTTTTTTCTGGCTTTTAATTGTGTTCTTTACATATTGTAAATACTAGTCCTCTGTGCCACGTATATATTTTTTCTTCCAATTTTCATTTCCATTATTTGGGAGGCCGAGAGAGAGAGCGCTCGAGCGAGCGCACTATCTCCCACCTGCTGCTTTGTCCCCCCAAATACCAGCGCAGCAACAGCGTAGCTGCCACGCTGAGGCTGGGAGCTGGAACTCAACCCGGGTCTTCAACGTTGGGGGGAGGGGCCCCAGCACCTGCCGCTTCCTGCGGTGCACTGGCAGGAAGCTGGGTTGGAGGCGGAGCTGGGATTTGATCCCAGGGACTCCGGTACAGGATGCTGCCCCCCCCCCCATTCACCTTCTGTAAAAAGACACCTGGAGGTTGAACAGGTGTAGCCGAGAGGGGACGGGGCAGCCACGGTCACAGCTGCCTGCCGTGAGAACCACGTGAAGGGGCCGCTCCTGTCTGCCGTGGCCGCATCTTCAGCAGACTGCCTGCCACGGCTCCTGCAGTCTTGCCGGTGCTTGCCGGGCACGGACCGGTCCTGCACCGCCGGGCACCCGACGTCTGCTGTTGCCGGTGCTTGCCGGGCACGGACCGGTCCTGCACCGCCGGGCACCCGACGTCTGCTGTTGCCGGTGCTTGCCGGGCACGGACCGGTCCTGCACCGCCGGGCACCCGACGTCTGCTGTTGCCGGTGCTTGCCGGGCACGGACCGGTCCTGCACCGCCGGGCACCCGACGTCTGCTGTTGCTGGTGCTTGCTGGGTATGGACCTGGCTCTGCATCGCCAGGCACCCGACGTCTGCTGTTGCCGATGCTTGCCGGGTACGGACCTGGCTCTGCATCGCCGGGCACCCGACGTCTGCTGTTGCCGGTACTTGCCGGGTACGGACCGGTCCTGGATCGCCGGGCACCCGACGTCTGTGCTGTTGGATCCAGCGGGGTCCACGAGCTCTCCCCACCTCCTCTGCGTCGGGGCTGGGCCTTCGCCTCGTCCTGCACTGCCCGCTCCTTCTGAAAACCCCGTCTGGGGGTCTGCGTCTTGTGTGTGGAGCGCGTGGGGTGCAGGGAATCAGGGCGTCCACCCTCTGGCGCACACCGGGGGCCGCCTGCCACGCTTCTCTGTGAGGCCGGCAGGTGTCCCTGTAGGTCCAGCAGCTCGAGGCCCCTCCTCCCTGGTCTTCTCAGCCTAACGAGGCCTCCCCCACACAAGGGTGGGCCTGGGTCCCGGTTTGTCTGGGCCTGTCCTGGTGTCGCAGCGAGGATTCTGACCCAGGAGAGTGCTCTGGGTGCTCCCAGCGCTGGGGGCCCAGGGTCCGTGGGTGCTGACACACTCGTGGGTGACTGTGTGTGGCACACAGACCTCCAGGGCTCACCACAGGCAAACACGGGTCAGTGGGAACCAGGGTCAGTGACCTTACCGCCTCCCGCGGGGCGGGGCTTCTGAGCAGGTGCGGCTTGAGGTGGGGCAAGTGGCTCCCAGGCTGGTGCAGTGGCCCCAGGGTCCTGGCCGGGAGGGGGAGGCCAAGCGGCTTCCAGCCGGCGCAGTGGCCCCAGGGTCTGACTGGAGGGGAGGCCAGCAGCTCCCAGGCCGGCGCAGTGGCCCCAGAGTCCTGGCTGGAGGCGGGGCCAGCGGCTCCCAGGCCGGCGCAGTGGCCCCAGGGTCCTGGCTGGAGGCGGGGCCAGCGGCTCCCAGGCCGGCGCAGTGGCCCCAGGGTCCTGGCTGGAGGCGGGGCCAGCGGCTCCCAGGCCAGCGCAGTGGCCCCAGGGTCCTGGCTGGAGGGGAGGCCAGCGGCTCCCAGGCCGGCGCAGTGGCCCCAGGGTCCTGGCTGGAGGTGGGGCGATGCTCCCCCTGGAAACTGGGCACTGAGTCCCAGCGGCCTCTCCCCTTCCCATCCCAGTGGGCAGCTGGGGTCCGAGCGTGGCCTTGAACAGGGGTGCATGGTCACCGTGGGACACCAAAGCCTGCTATGGGCCCTGCCCACCCCCAGCTGGGTCCCAAGGCTCCCCCTGGCCTCGGCAGGCTCAGACCCCCACCCCACCTCTGGGATGTCAGGTCCACTGTGGTGGGGGAGGGCTGTGTGGCCAGGCATGGTCTGGCCTTGTCCCTGGTGGCTGTCACTGCTCCCCCAGGCACGCCTAGGTCCTAATGTCCCCCCGCCGAAGGGGCCACCCTGGCCGCCAGACTCTGACCCAGAGCTCCATCCTCAGAAGAGGGGCAGTCAGGTGGACAGGTGTTTGCCAGGTGGGCACAGCCCAGAGGCCCTGAGCAGGGACAGCCTGGGTGGGCTGCAGATGGTGGCCATGTGTGCCCTCTGCAGGGTTGGGGGCTGGGGGCTGGGGAGGTAGAGCACGGGCCTCAGGCCAGTGCACTTAGCAAAGCACTCTGGTTTCTCTCTCTCTCTCTAATTATTTGAAAGGCAGAGAAAGTGAGAGAGACAGAGGTCTTCTATCCATTGGTTCACTCCCCAAATAGCCGCAATGGCCGGAGCTGGGCTGATCAGGATCCAGGAGCTTCTCCAGGTCTCCCACGCAGGTGCAGGGCCAGGCGCTTGGGCCATCTTCCACTGCTTTCCCAGGTCACAGCAGGGAGCTGGGTCGGAAGTGGAGCAGCTGGGACTCGAACTGCATTTGGATGTGGGACACCAGCTTCCCAAGCGGCCTTAACCTGCTGAGCCTCCTCATGACATACAGTGGGGGTGTGAGGGCCCCGACTGGGCACAGGGGCCCCCCAGGGACGACTCCAACCTGCGGGGAGCTGGAGGGGCTGTGAGAGGAGAGGACGTGGGCCTCATGGAGCAGACCCAGGCCTGGGGAGACGGGTTCTAGTGCCGGGGAGGGGACGTGGCAGGGACACCCGGCCGGCATCGCCCCCACCCAGGTGCCACAGCCCACTCCCTGGCTTCCCACCCACCTGGCCAGAGCCTCCACCTTGGCCCAGCCTGGGCTGAGCCCTGGGAGACTTGACACGTCTGTGGTCACCGCTGGGCGCTGGGCACTGGGCAAGCCTTCCCCAGCTATGTGTGCCTGGGCCCCGGCATTTGGAGGGAAAAACCCAGTGCCAGTCAAACCCTGTGTGTGGCCAACAGCAGCTGTTCCGTCTGGAGCCCAGGATGGCCGCCAGGGCAGGCTCCCGCTCCCGCCAGCAGGGCCTGTGAGGGTCTCTCTCGTACCCATGGGCAGGGCCCAGAGGAGACCGAGAGAGGCAGACACCCGGTGGGCCATCACACTGGAGCCCCTCACCGTGCCCCCCCAAGTCAGGCTCACCACTAGGTGGCCTTGTGCCATGCCATAGGGGCTGCAGGGCGGGGACCTCAGGACGGGGGCAGGTGTGGAGCCCCTCCCCTCCCCCTTACACCTGAGGCCCCAGGGGCTCCTGTGCAGCCCCCAAGCGCTGGGGCCCTGGGCCCGCAGTACCGGTTTTCTGTGCTGTGATGGCCACGCACTCGGTGGTCTGCCGGGAGCTCATGGTCTGCAGTCCAGAGCCTGCGAGGGCCTCGTGTGGTGGGCAGGACAGGCGTGCCCGGGAGAGCCGCTCCTGTGACGGCCCGGAACCCAGGAGCCCTTCCGGGGCGGGGACCATTCGGGCCCATAAAGTCCTCAGCTCACAGGTCAGCCTGCTCGGCTTTATTGAACTTCAAGTCCCCCTGCGGTTGTCTCGCCCCAGGGGCTGGACACGCCCCACCCCGCACCCCTGAACTCCCCCATGAGGGCTCTGCCCACAGCCAGCTGCACACTGCTGCACTGGGGCCCAAGTCAGGCCACGCAGGCCCTCCGGGTGTCCACAGCGGATGCCGGCTGGTCTTCCTGTGCTGTGCGGTCCTGGTGGCCCCCAGAGGCCTCGGGACTCTCCCCACACCTGCGTCTCCCTGGAGGACCTGCGTGGCCCAGAGGACCGCTGACCACCACAGGGCAGGGCCCAACCCAGGTGGACGCCCCCTTGGGAGCCATCACTCAGCACCAGCGGACCCGGTGCATTTAACAAACGGGCGGGGCGGCCTCCAGGGAGGGCACCGGGTTGTGGGCCGCGCGGCCACAGGGGCAGCGGGGCAGGCGCGGGCGGGGGCGGGGGCGGGGCTCCGCAGGAAACACCACAGTGACAGGCACACGACGTTGCAATAGCTTTGTATACACGGTCCCGCAGCTGCGCGCAGGCGTCCCAGCGGCCTCACAGCGTCCACGGCCCGTCCCGCCCGCCGCCCAGCGGCACGAAGGTGGCGCCCTGCAGCACGGAGGCGCAGAAGGAGCGGCAGCGCTTGCATGGCCGCGTGGGCGGCAGGGGGCCCTGGCACACTAGGCATGGCGCTCGCAGGTCGCTCGGCGGCCCTGGGGAGAGAGAGGGGCCTGAGCGAAGGCTGCGCCGCCCGCCCAGGCCACGCCCTCCCATGCCCGAGGCCCCGCCCCCCGCCGCCGCGGGTCGCCCGTGAGCCCACAGCCCAGACCTGAAGCCACGTCTCGGCCCCGCCCTGCGCCCAGGGGTCTTCCCCGGCCGCGCCCTCCCCGGCGCGAGGCCCGTCCACAGAGGGCCACGCCCCGATCACGCCCCGCTGCCGGCCACGCCCACAGAGGCCCGCTCCCCGACCGCGCCCCGCGCAGGCCCCGCCCTGGCCTCCGCCCCAGCCCTGCCCCAGGCCGCCCACCTCTCCCGCGTGGGCCGCCCCTGGCCTACCCCAGCTCACAGAAAAACCTGGCCTGGGGCGCGGCCGCGGACCCTTTGTCCGTCCACCCAGGACACGCCCACCGCCCTAGACCCCGCCCACCCCAGGGTGGGCGCTTTGACCCGACAACCAGCGGCCGCTGAGCACGGAGGAGTGCGGCGCCCCGCGTGGGCGCCGGCCCAGTCCCGGCTGCTCCGCTTCCCGTCCGGCTCTCGGCCATAGCCCGGGAAAGCAGGGAAGACGGCCCAAGGCCTTGGGACCCTGCACCCGCCTGGGAGACCCCAAAGAAGCTCCTGGCTCCTGGCCCGGGATGGGCCCGGCTCCAGCCGTCGCGGCCACTCGCGGGGTGAACCGGCGGATGGAAGACCTCTCTCTTCCCCTCCCCCTCCCCTTCAAATAAGTAAAACAGATGAAGCATGGAGAAAGGCGTCCTCCACTTGACACGGGTGGAAAACCCACAGCTCTGACAGCTCTCAGAATGAAAAACAAAACCCCCAGGAAATCAACACGGGAAGCCCGCAAGTCTCAGGAGGGCCGTCGCATGTTTGAGTGTGCAGCCTGGGAAACCCATCTGCCCGCGCGGCCGGGGACACTGACCACGGCTCCCGGAGCCGCAACCCGGCTCAGTATCCCCCCACCAGGCTCCCATATGCCTCCCAACACGGCTCACGGAGCCCCAGCACAGCTTATGGGACCTCAACACGGCTCATGGAACCCCAACACTGCTCAGTATGCCCCCGACATGGCTCACGGAACCCCCGAACATGGCTCACAGAACCCCAACACACGGAACCCCAACACGGCTCAGGGGACCCTCAGGAGATCCCCAACATGGCTCCCAACCCCTACTGGGGACTGGGGGTGGGGCGGGGCAGGGCGGGGCTGGCTGCAGGAGGCAGGCCCTACGGGAGCCGCGCCCATCCCTGCCGCCCTCTGGCTGGGGCTGTGGTCACCCACGTGAAGCTGCTCCCTGACAGAGACTCCAGTCTGCAGGTGGCAGGAGCCCGGACGCGGCACCAGCTTGGCACCAGCCGGTCCTGCCACTGGGACGAGGCCTCCTCCACCTTCCCCTTGCAGTTGAGAGACCCCTGCACCCTGGAGGGAGTGTGGCCAGGGGTCGTGGGCAGAGCAGCGGTGTGCAGAAGCCTCTACGTGCCGGCACGGTTGGTCCACCCACTCGCACATCTGCCTTCTGCCATGTGACAGGATTCACGGGAGCCACAGGCCCCACAGAGGAGACAGGAGTGAGCCGGAGCCCACAGGTGGAGCCAGCTCAGCCCTCCCCAGGGGCCCCCAGCACAGACGGACGACAGGAGCAGAGTATGGTGACAGCGTCGTCACTGTGGACCCCAGGCTCGGGCAGGTGTGATGTGGGGGGAGACAGGGTGCAGTGGCTGTGGGATGAGCAGAGATTTCTAACAGAGGACAGGACGTGCAGCTCGTATATTGCAATCAGCAGTGGCTGTGCGTCTGTGCTCAGAGAGGCGGGTGGATCACGGAACGGGGAGGCCCCTGGGATACACACACCGCCGAGGCCCGGCTCCCACCTACGTGAGGAGCTCCTCCCACAGCAGGCCAACAGAAGGCGTGTGCACATGAGATGCAGACTGAAGCGCTACCGTGACTCCACCACGTAGCACCGCAGGAGTGGGCGACTCCGGCTCACGGAGTTGCCGCTGCGCCTCTGCCAGGCTCAGCCGTGTCCCGGCAGCTCTATCCCTAACCGCCTGAGCCGGGAGCTGCGTCCAAAGCGCTTACTAACAGTAGTGGGAATAAAAACCTGTGGCCAGGCATCGACTGGCGCCATCGGCCCCGCTGTCCAGCCCTGCGGCTGGGAACAGGCCCCAAGGAAATGCAGCCTGCGCGGGGTTCTTGGAAGGACAAAGCAGCGTCTTCGGCACTGCACAGCACCTGCACACTCACGGAGGGCTCTGCAACACCGGGGCCGATTCCGTCTCAAACGGGACCATTAGCATCAGGCGTTACACGCGGTGCCTGGCTCTCTGTGGGACGCGGCCAGCAACAAGACGTGGCGTGCGAGTGAGGCAACATCCTAACGGAGGAGTTAAAACTTCTGTACGTGATAGAAGTTTTTACACAAAAGACTAAAAAAAAAATACAAATTGTTATGGGTAATGAGTTTTAGAGGTTCATAGAAAAATTAATGTAGAAATGTCATTTGCATTCTTTCCGCCAACAGAGATGGTGGCATGAGCGACACCACAATTCCAACTACATAAGGGACTCTAATAAACCACGCATGTGGTCTCATCAGGGAGAGGGGTGACACCTAAACGAGGCTACATCGTGTTCATGGGTAGGAAGACATCGTCTCACTCACTTGTCAATTGGTTCCAAATTGAATAAACTTAACCAAGGACGTTAAAGATCTCTTCGATGAGAATTACAAAATCTTAAAGAAAGAAATAGAAGAAGAAACAAAAAATGGAAAAATCTTCCATGCTCATGGATTGGAAGAATCAACATCATCAAAATGTCCATTCTCCCAAAAGCAATTTATAGATTCAACGCAATTCCAATCAGGATACCAAAGAGATTCTTCTCAGATCTAGAAAAAATGATGCTGAAATTCATATGGAGACACAGGAGACCTCGAATAGCTAAAGCAATCTTGTACAACAAAAACAAAACTGGAGGCATCTCAATACCAGATTTCAGGACATACTACAGGGCAGTTGTAATCAAAACAGCATGGTACTGGTACAGAAACAGATGGATAGACCAATGGAACAGAATTGAAACACCAGAAATCAACCCAAACATCTACAGCCAACTTATATTTGATCAAGGATCCAAAACCAATTCCTGGAGCAAGGACAGTCTATTCAATAAATGGTGCTGGGAAAATTGGATTTCCACGTGCAGAAGCATGAAGCAAGACCCCTACCTTACACCTTACACAAAAATCCACTCAACATGGATTAAAGACCTAAATCTACGACCGGACACCATCAAGTTATTAGAGAACATTGGAGAAACCCTTCAAGATATTGGCACAGGCAAAGAGTTTCTGGAAAAGACCCGGGAGGCACAGGCAGTCAAAGCCAAAATCAACTATTGGGATTGCATCAAATTGAGAAGTTTCTGTACTGCAAAAGAAACAGTCAGGAGAGTGAAGAGACAACCGACAGAATGGGAAAAAATATTTGCAAACTATGCAACAAATAAAGGGTTAATAACCAGAATCTACAAAGAGATCAAGAAACTCCACAAAAACAAAACAAACAACCCACTTAAGAGATGGGCCAAGGACCTCAATAGACATTTTTCAAAAGAGGAAATCCAAATGGCCAATAGGCACATGAAAAAATGTTCAAGGTCACTAGCAATCAGGGAAATGCAAATCAAAACCACAATGAGGTTTCACCTCACCCCGGTTAGAATGGCTCACATACAGAAATCTACCAACAACAGATGCTGGCGAGGATGTGGGGAAAAAGGGACACTAACCCACTGTTGGTGGGAATGCAAACTGGTCAAGCCACTATGGAAGTCAGTCTGGAGATTCCTCAGAAACCTGAATATAACCCTACCATTCGACCCAGCCATCCCACTCCTTGGAATTTACCCAAAGGAGTTTAAATTGGCAAACAAAAAAGCGGTCTGCACCCTAATGTTTATCGCAGCACAATTCACAATAGCCAAGACCTGGAACCAACCTACATGCCCATCAACGGTAGACTGGATAATGAAATTATGGGATATGTATTCTTTAGAATACTATACCGCAGTAAGAAACAACGAAATCCAGTCATTTGCAACAAAATGGAGGAATCTGGAACACATCATGCTGAGTGAAGTAAGCCAGTCCCAAAGGGACAAATACCGTATGTTCTCCCTGATCGGTGACAACTGACTGAACACCAAAAAGGAAACCTCCTGAAGTGAAATGGACACTATGAGAAATGGTGACTTGATCAGCATAGTCCTGACTGTTAATGAACAACTCAATACATTATCCCTCTTAGTATCTTTTTTGTCTGTTCTACTTAATATGACTGGTTTAATTCTGTAATTATCACACAGTTATTCTTAAGTGTTAAAAATTAACTGAAATGTGATCCTTGTTAAACATAAGAGTGGGAATAAGAGAGGGAAGAGATGTATAATTTGGGACATGCTCAAGCTGACTTGCTCCAAATGGTAGAGTTAGAAACATACCAGGGGATTCCAATTCAATCCCATCAAGGTGGCATGTACCAATGCCATCTCACTATTCCAAGTGATCAGTTTCAGTTCACAATTGATCATAATGAAAGGACTAAGAGTCAAAGGGAGCACATAAACAAGTCTAGTACCTGCTAACACTAACCGATAGAATAAATAAAGGGGAGAGTGATCCAACATGGGAAGCGAGATACTCAGCAGACTCATAGAATGGCAGATGTCCTAAATAGCACTCTGGCCTCAGAATCAGCCCTAAAGCCATTCGGATCTGGCTGAAAAGCCCATGAGAGTATTTCAGGCATGGAAAGCCAAGACACTCTGGCAAAAAGATCTCTGTGAGTGAGATCCCAGTGGAAAGAACAGGTCTTCAAAGAAGGAGGTACCTTTCTCTGAAGGGAGGAGAGAACCTCCACTTTGACTATGACCTTGTCTAAACAAGATAAGAGTCGGAGAACTCAGAGGGCTTCCATAGCGTTGGAA